TTCGCAAATGCAAAGAATTTGTTCGTAGGATTTCAACAGTGCAGGCGGCTAACAAAAGGCGCAGTGTGTTTGTCTTCGTCGGTCTCTTACTGATGTAGTACTGCGCTTTTGCGGCCCAATTAACGAACCGTGACCCCTCGGAAATCGGCGCCATCATGGCAAAAGTGCTTCCTTGTTTGCCAAATTAAAATTTGCAATCCTTTTCGGAGCCATAACTTATCACGTGGCGGTCGTCGTGGTCCGTGGCTTTGTCGCGGTGTGGAATGTTGCCAGGGCCGGGCCTGGCCGGGCGGGGGCGGCGAGGGGCGGCAAGGGGCGGCGCGGCGGTGGGCTCCCCGGGGCGCGGAGGGGGCGTAGCGCAATGCCTTGGCACCTCCACTCAGAGGAGTCCAACTCCGTGAAGTTGGCACGATTCCACGCGATCCAGCAACGGCTTGCGATTCACCCCCCACCCCTCGCTCCCCCCACCCCTTTACCCTTTCTCTATGTCTCTCCCCCTTCCCCCACCCTCTCCCTCTCTCCTCCTCTGTTCCGCCCGCCTTCTCGAAGCGAGCCACCACCGTGGGGCTGGGGGCCGCCGCTCCACCACCATCAAGAGAAGGCACCGCCCAGGAGAAGCAGGACATTGGAGCTCGTGCACAGTGTCAAGCTACTGCAAATATTCCAAAGTTGAGTCTGGCTCTTACAACAAATCCATGTAATAACAATTCCCCCTAAAATAGAGTTCTTTTTTTAAAAAAAAAGTTTTGCCGCGAGAAATATTTTTGAGACGGCGTGTCGTCGCGTCATCGGTTCGCTTCACTCTTTCCGATGTATCCCCATACCTCGCGTCGCGTATATAGTTTCTGAGCCTTTCACCAGCGCTGGGGGGGCTTTACTTACTCCCATGTCGTCATCCATCATTTGGCGCCCTCCCCTGTGTGTGTGTGTGTGTGTGTGTGTGTGTGAGCGCGCCTAAACAGTTCCACCTCCGCGTGCCCCCATAACCCGCATCATGGCGGAGCGTGCACCTTCTGAACTTTCATAGGATAACAAATATGTTTACCGTAAACGCAACGCCCTCGCCCCCTCGCTCGCTTCTAACCGGTGGGGAGGGTTGGGATGGAATATTTGGGACCCTTGCATTCCCTCTTTCCCCCTCTGCTACTTTCTCTGACGCCCCTCTCTCTCCCTCTCTCTCTCTCTCTCTCTCTCTCTCTCTCTCTCTCTTCACGAGTTCAGATGTTCGGCGTTTTTAAAATGTTAGCTCGGACCAGGTAATTTATAGAAACGTACAAAGATTGACTAATTCAGAGAGAAGTTATACTCTTCCTCGCTTAAATATTTTAAATAAACAAATTTCTCGGCTTTTGAGACTTTTACCCACGTTTATCCACGCGCCGTCACGTTACCTGCATCTTTTCGGCCATCTTTTGCGTCTTGGCACTCTCTTTTGCTATATCTGTTTTGGCCCCTCCACTCTCATCTGCTTCTCCCCCTTGCTCCCAGAACCCCCACCACTCTCCTTCCCCACCGCGCGCCAGCCCACCGGCCCCCACTTCCTAATACGCCAGAAAGTTTCATACGTTACGAATTTGCATAAGTGGGCAGCCACCTGTCTGTGTTTGTGTTCGTGTGTGTGTGTGCGGATGGGAGGCTGTGTCTGCATATGAGCGAGGGGGCGGGGTGCGTCAGTGGCTGTGTCTGCGTGGTATGCGGAGAGGTCGGAAAGTCTGGTGTCTGTGCGCTCGGAGGTGTGTCGGTGGGCCCCACCCCGCCGCGCCCCTCCTGGCGTCAAGCTAATATCACAAGAGGCGGTGGTGGCGGCGGTGCGACGCGACGGCCCACTTTGCACCTTGCGCTGGATTAATTCTACGCTCCAGCCGCTCCAGCCGGCCGGGTGAGAGGTATATGGCAGCGGCTAAGTGATTCGATGAGTCTGGAAGAAAATTTGTGTGCGCGCGCCTTAGCGGATATGATGAGGGAGGGAAAAAACGCACACTAAACTTATTCTCTAGAAAATTTGACTCGTATAACTACCAAAGTTTTGTGCTATCACAACCCATCAAGAAATTCCGTAGTCTTACTTACCTCTTTTCTTTCGTAACGTTTATCTAGAATTCTAATAATTGTGCTTTGAAAATGTTCAGTAATATTAGGAAAGGGGTTAGTAATACAGAGTGAAAAATATCCTCCTAAATTTACGACATTTGTTGTAATTTTTGATTAACAAAATAAGTAGTAAATTTAAAAAGCCCATTCTTGCTCAATGGGCAATTCCAAGTAGTATCCCTCCTATGTTCGAAGTGAAACACGATGTCAAATTTACAAATCAAGATATGTGTGATGATAATGCTTGATATTTTTGTACGTTAAGCTATACTCGTGCGGGTGAGAATAAACGGTCATTTGCTCACCACAATGCCATTCCGATAGATGGGACGGACGACGGTCGGGGCGATATGGGGATATTAAGGAGGGGAGGAGGGGGGGGGGGGCAACAACGCCACGCGGTTTGGACGTTAAGTGAAAGTGGAATATTTACCCAGAAGCGCAACTCTTGTCAGCCAACATTACACTCTCCCGCCATATCCGTCCCTTCGTCCCCTCACCTCGTGCTCGCCTCGGTCTCTCCCCCCCTCTCTCTCTCTCTCTTACCCTCTCTCACCCTCTCTCTCTCACCCTCTCCGTCCCTCTCTCTCCCTCTCTCGCTTTTCTCTCTCTCTCGTTTCTCTCTCTCTCTCACACACACACACGCACACACATTTACATGGTAATGCCCAATTGCGGTCTCTCCGCTCCCCCTGTGAATACCGTATACTGGAATGGCCATGCCATAGCTTTGCCTATTCGCAGGGCATCGCCATCCTCGCGCTCGCTGCGGGGCGTGAGGCCGCATGCCTGCGCCCCAGTGAGCGAGCGAGAGAGAGACAGACAGAGAGCGAGAGAGAGAGGGGGGTGGGGAGGTGAGTGAGGTGGGCGAGTATGGGAAGGGAGATGTGTCATATTTGCGTGGCGGTACTTTAGGACGATGAGGCAATGTTCGTTCATGCCAGCCTCCGCCCCACCGCGCTATACCGTTGCCGCTTGCCACAGTCATGGCGCTGATGGTGGTGGCTCTGGACTATGGAAGGTCAGGATATGAAAAAGTTAGATACGTTTTGAAGAAGGGTATTGTTTAGGAGGAATTGAACTACATGTGGTGTAGCCACAAGGTACACCATTAGATTGTAATAAAAATTAGACCGCCCTCATGATTTGCTTTGTTCTTACATTACTGAGTGAGGATCATGATCACGCGCAACGACAGGATACGTGCACATAGCTCTTAAAGACTAGTAGAGATTAAAAGAAATGTGCCTGTCGCCTCACGCGCGGGTGACACTGAACTGCACATGCACAAAAAGTACACTGCACTGAGTTCAGATCGACGGCTGTGTACTCTAGCTGCCGAGCTGGAGGGGCCACCAGTAGGGTGTCCGGCCGGCCGGGCCCGGCGTCCACCCCTGTGCGCGCCCCACAGGGGGCCGGGGCCAGGGCCGGGGCCCCTCTCCCTCCTTGCAAGGCGGCGGCCACGGCCTACACCGCGCCGCCCCGCCACGCTCCACCCCGCCCCGCCCCGCCCCGCCCCGCCCAGCATAGCGCGCGCGCCCGCCGCGGCGTTTTCCCAGAAACGCAAAACCTGTTGATTAGTCCTGTTGCCTCACTGTTGCGTCGAGTTGGACGAGTTGACGAGAGGCCCTCGCAGGGCGAGCCGCCCCGCTGCCCCGCTGCTCGTGTGGCGAGGGCCCCGCGAGATATCGAACCCCTCGTCGCGGGGGTCGCGGGGACTGTACCGGCCAGGCCACCAGCAGCTCTCATTAATTCTACTTGCCGACGGGATGCATCCTTCATGTGTGTAATATTTTAGCAATTAATTAAAACGCATTATTGTCATTATTTCGGACTTTATTATTTTCTCGAGTATTTACTTTATCCATTCATTCGCGCATGGAAAAGAGTGTAGCCAACAAGAAGGTAGCAGTGCTATTCTACTTCACTGGCACTGCACTACTCGGCTACCGCTTTTTTACATGTGTTAAATTGTTATGTAGAACGAGTGAATGCATCTCTTAAAATCACTGTTAAAAATACAACTGTCGCCGGCGTTTATTTTTGCTCTTACGGCGTCTGTATCAAGAGAGGTGGCAATCCAGATAGATTAATCCTTATACGCCATGAAGGGCGTGTACGTGAGGTGTAAATGATATTTACCTCAGACGGTAAAATTTTGTGTGACGGAGAAACACGAGATATAATAGGTATGGTCAGAGGGTAGAGGAAGACAAACGAGAGAGGGAGAGAGAGAGAGAGAAAGAGAGAGAGAGAGGGGGGGGGGTGGAGAACAGCAGGAAACTGTGTCACCTCCGTCGCAGAATTAATTACCTCTACAAGTATACGCCGACACATGCGTGCCATAACTCTTGCTCGCTCCCCCCCCCCCCCCGCTCTCGGTCTCTCTCGCTCTCTCTCCCTCTCCCTTTCTCTCGAATTATTTTTGTCCAGCAGCAAGGACGAGCACGGCCCGCGGTGCACTTGTCGCACACGCCGCCGCCGCCGCCCACTCGCCGAAGACACAAAAGTTCTCCCCGTTGTTTCCCCTCCCCTCCCCTCTCTTCACCCTGCCCGCGACACCACCCCGCGGCAGTGCTGCGCCGCCGCCCCTGCTGCTGCTGCTGCAGCTGAAGCTGCTTCCGCTGCTGCTACTGCTGCTGCCGCCGCTGCTGCCCCTGCTATGGCTTCCACGCCGCGCCGCCTGCTGGCGCGACCCCTCCGCGCCGCGCGCCGCCGCCGCATCCCCTAGCCGCGGCGCTCGGGCCCGGCTCGCCACGGCCCGGCCGGCTGCCGGCACACGAAGGGGTGGCGGGGACGGCCGAGCGCGCGCGCCACGGGCCCGAAGCGGTGCCGAAGGGGTGGCGGAGACGCCCGAACCGGCGCTCGGCCCACCCCGCCGCCCGTCTCGGCTGCGCCGGGGCGGCAGTGTCGAGAGGAGGGCGGCCGCTGCCACACGGCCCGGTAGCACGACCACCCCGCACGCACCCCGCGGTGCCCGCGCCCACGCCCGCATCGGTGGCGGAGGTGCTGGTGGTGAACAAGTGGAACAAGAAGTTGTGAACGCGAGTGCGAGCGCGAGCGTGCGTGCGAGCGAGTGACGAGCTGCTCGAGCGGCGCCGATTGGAACCCTACCGCTGCCGCCGCCGCCGCCGCTGCCGCCCCCCGGCGGCGCGCACCATGGGCCCGCGCTGCTGAACGAGACGCCCGCCCCGCGTCGCGACGCCCGCCGCCGCCGCCGCGACGCCGCCATGGCCTGAACGGCCGGCCGGTGCTGAACCTGTTGATGTGAACCGCCGCCCTGCAGCCGCCCTGCAGCCCCCAGCACGCCGTGCGTCGTGCGGCATATTGATCTATGCGCTGCGACTAGCCTCCTCTCTCTTCCTCTCTGTCTCTTTCTCTTTCCGTCTCTCTTTTCCCCCCACCCTCTTCTCTTCCTCTTCTGCCTGTGTCTCTCTCTCTCTCTGTCTTTTCCTTGAGCCTGTCTGCCGGTGTGGCACAGGGCATACGCAGTTGTTGCGCGAGACCGCTGCTGCCCACTAACAGGTGTCTGCCCCCCTCCCCCCACCCCTTCCTTGTTTTACTCCTCAGCCCTTGTTAACCTGTCCGCATCCTCTCACCTTTACCCCACCCCTTCTCCATCTCTCTCTATCGTCCATACTACGAGCCATTCTCTCTCCGGCTCTCAACTACGTCGCAAAACTCGACGGACGCAAAACTCTTCATCCCGGAAGTGGCCGCGCAGCACAGTGCGAGCGGAACAGACTCATCCGGCAAGTGGAGAGAAACCAAACGGAATACCTTCGGTGCGGCGCGCGTGATGTGTGTGAGGTGTGACCGCCGGGAGGCCCTTCTACTTGTTGCGTGAAAGGTCACGCCATCGGGTCTTGCTAGGCCGCTGGCAGCCGCTGGGCCCCGCGCTGCTGCAGGGCCCTCGCCGACGCGGCCCCCGCCGCCTGCCGCCCCCGCCGCCGCCGCTGCCGCCGCCGTTGCCGCCGCCGCCGCGGCCGGGCCGGCGGTATCGACCCGGGAGCAGCGAGCCGGAGCCGGCGGCCGGGCCGGCCTGTTCGAGTCCGGGCGCCCCCGCCGCGCCCCCCACCGCCCCCAAGCTGGTGCGCATCCGGAGGCCGCCGCCCAGGCTCGAGGATTACGCTGAGGTCGGCCTCCCCGGGGCCAAGCAGAGCGACAGGGTCGGCGACAGCCTCCAGGGCGCCGCCATGCCGCGCTGCTACATGGTCAAGAAGACGGCCAACAGGTACCCCGGCTGGGGCGGCGGCGGCGGGGCCGGGGGCGGCGCCTCGCCCGCCGCGACCCCCAGCCGGCCGCAGAGCCCCGCGGGGGGCTCCGTCGCGCCCCAGAGTCCGGAGCCCCCCGTGTACCGACCGCTGAGCACCGTCATCACCTCGACCACACACAGTGAGTAGTGCGCTTGTTCATGCATGGCACACGTGGTTTTCAACTCAAAATTTTAGAAAATTGAACTTTTCTGTATTTTAATTTTATGTTTTAATCTCATTTTGTTTTTTACTCATGACAGTGTAGAAAATTTCTTGACCCAAGTTGCTTTGCTGGAAACATAGTATTGGTCATTCGCAACTAACTATACAAAAAATTCAGAAAAAATGCACAAACAAAAATTATCTTTCTGTAGCATATTTTTTTCTATCGTGCCTGTCTAGCTATCGTTTGGCCAACTAATGTGAAAGGTTTTGCGTCCTATCCGTCGTCGTGACGCGCTAACGCCATGCTGGTGACGCCTGTTGATGACGGGCGACCTCTTGACGTCGAGGAGGAGGAGGAGGAGGAGGGAAGCGGCCGAGGCCGAGTTAAAATAGTCAGTCCAACCTGTTGTTGTGTGTGCGTGTGGCGTAAGCATGTGAGGCCATGGCTTCGCTAGATGTGACACACACACACACACACACACACACACACACACACAGGCAGAGAGATTTAGCGGAGAGCCAGGAGAGGAGTGTGGGCTTACAAGAGCTACTCCCGACTACTCCTTCCTTGCTGCTGTGCTCTGTTGCTGAGCGATATGGCTGTAGTCGTTAGTGTGCTCGCTCGTTTCGCTCCAGGCTGCCCCCTTCTCCTCCTCCCCACCCCCTGCTCCTCCCTCCCCCTTCCCCCTGCTCCTCCGCGGCGCGTCCGCCTCCCCTCGTCGCGGTTGGGGTGCGCTCCGCCGCGCCACGCCGCGGCACGCCACGCCGCGCCACGCCACGCCACGCCGCTGTCTGCTCGCTCCAGCCGCTCCAGCAGCAGCTGGAGGGAGACACCGCGCCGCACCGCGCGGAGTAACGGCACACGGCCTGAACTTCGGCAGGTTGAGCAGCGTGTGCGCCGCGCGGGGGGATATAAGCGAGATAAAACGACACCACCCTCTAATGTTGCACTGTCTTTTGCGCCCCCGAAAAAAAAATGAAAAATGGAGTAGTTGTTTGTAAAAAAGTGTAATGCAATCGTGCGTGTTTCTTCGCTATTATGCTTCCAAAAAAAACATTAGGGTAATTATTACTGCCGACCATCTGCCAGCTGTTTGCTATCAGTTTCTTCCTTTTTTAGCCCGCTCTTTTGCTTAAAAGCTATATAAGCGGGCTTATGCCATCGCCTCTGTGTCTGTCTGTCTGTCTGTCTGTCTGTCTGTCTGTCCGTCTGTCCGTTCCCCAAGAAGGACGTGAGCTAGAGGTCTGAAATTTTCAGGGTATTATTGTTGTCACTTCTGGACAACGAAACGGTTGGTGCAAATCCTGGCAACCACCCCTGAGTGGGTCTGAGGGGGTAACAAAGAAATAGGAGTTGGTCCAAGAAGTGGAAAAAAAATATTTTTTTTATTGTCTCCTAAGGGGTATCTCGTGAAAGTAGAGCCCTTTGGGCGAAAATTTCGTCCGTTTGGCTCTATCTCTCACCGTTTAGGCGCTAGAGGGAGTTTTTCCGACAAAAGTGGCCCCAAAACAATATATTAAGCTTAGAAAATATTTGATGGTTTCCTAAGGGGTAACTTGGGAAAGTAGAACCCAATGGGCGAAAATTTCGTCCGTTTGGCTCTTTCTCTCACCGTTTAGGCGCTACAGGGAGTTTTTCTGACAAACGTGACCCCGAAACAATATATTAAGTTTAGAAAATGTTTGATGGTTTCCTAGGGGGTAACTTCTGAAAATAGAGACCTGTGGGTTAAAATTTCGTCCGTTTGGCTCTATCTCTCACCGTTTAGGCGCTAGAGGGAGTTTCTCTCACCAAAATGGCCAAAACAGAAGTTTTTTTTCAGAAGTACACTTCTGTCTGAGAAGTATGCGGCCGGTTCAAAATTTTCTTCTAAGCAGAAGAGTGGGCTTATTTTATGGTGGCACATCATTAATAAAACGTGTACACTTTAATGCTAAAAAAACCCACCAAAAAAACACATTTAGTTTTTTGTTGTTTGAACACGTTCGGTGTCATTCAGAGTATGCCTGGAAGTATATTTAACTTCTAGGTCTAGTCTTATGTACATTTTCATAGGTGTGTTATTGGATTCATAAGCTAACATCAATAACTTAAAATTTCGGCATAACTTGCATGTATTCTACAAACTGCACACACAGCCAAAGATGTTCAGCGTATGAAAAGAATACTTCGTTTGTTGAGTTTTACTTACGAAGTAGACAGAAAAGGTACCTGGCAAAAAGATGGTTCGAAGCGAGCCGTCACTCAAACGGGCCGAAGGCCCGTTTTCGGATAGATGTATTACACCATAAAAATTCAGAAGGGACGGGCCGAAGGCCCGTCCGAAACGCCGCCGGCAGGCCAAGCTGGGCCCGCTCCCTGCCGAACCGAGTTGCCGGTGGAGCGAAGCGGAGCTGGCAACTTGGTTTGGCGGAAGAGCGGGCCCAGCTTGTTTTATCTTTGGTGGTAGTGCTTGCACGCGGCGTTGCTACGACCTTCACGGCGTATCCCCCTTCCCTCCTCTCACTCTTTCTCTCTCTCACCCGCTCGGCTCTCCCCGGCGATTTTAAACAAATTAAATCGCCGGGGCTACTGCTGCTGCTTCTACTCCCGGGCTTAAGATGCGTAGAGCTGCCTGGATGGCGCTAAGGGCACGAGATGAGAGGGAGAGAGAAAGAGAGAGAGAGAGCGACAGAGGGACTAAGGCGGAGAGAGAAATCCCTCGCCCTTTTTCCCTGACTCGTCGCTCGCCCCCGGAGGGCAGGAAGAGGGGGTGAAGTGGGGTAGCAACGCGCTGGCGGCGGCCCGGGCCCGGCCGGGTAGAGTGACTGTCGCGAAAGCGGAGACGAGCTAAGTGGTTAGGACGCTTTAGGCCTGGCCGTATAATGGTCCGGACATCTTGTTGCCATAGCAACAGCTGTTTAGCTGCGTCGCCCTTCTTCCTCTAATCTCGTCCCGCGTCCCCCCGACCCGCCGGACGGGCGCGCCGTCGCGTCGCGGAGCCCAGAGGCGGAGCAGTGCGAAAAAAGGGAGAAAAATCTCAATCAAGAATCCGAGGGGTGCCCAACTGTGGTAATCAGGTGTACACAGACCTGGTAATCACTGGTAATCCCTGGTAATCCTCACACTCGTGAGGGTCCTTCAAAACGACAAATTTGTTGATTTAGATATGAAATTTTGTGCTCATCTTGCCTGAATGCCAACGCGCAGGTATCTTTGCATCCCTCCCATGGACAAATTCATGATTTGGCCAATCATAGAGTGCAAATTTGTAACTTGCGTGATAAAGAATCAAGAACTACCAAAGAGTTGCACAAAAATGCATCTTTCTCGGAACAAAAATAGCCGTTTCGATTTAGAATGCAGGTGGATCATACCTAGTATACATAGGTAATCTTGGGTAATCTTTGGTAATCATTGGTAATCCTTGGTAATCTTTAGAATTTGGTAATCCGGTGTACACGTTTTTATAGAGTAAGGCACCCCTCGCAAGAATCGATCTTGAAAGCAGATGATGCATATTATAAGAATAGGTCTGTGTTCAAATTTGATCTCATATTTAGCGATGTAGAGGAGGAGATAAGGGCAGGCAGAGTGCACGGGGCCTTTCCGGCCTGCCCTGCCTGGCGCAGTATAACGCAAAAGTAAAGCGGCCTCAGCGCGACAACCATTCCCTCAGCGCCCAATAATATTGTCGATGTTGTTTGTGTTTGCCGGCTTGCGCTATGTCTCTTCCCTTCTAGTGTGCTTCCCCTCTTTCAGCCTATCGAGAGGTAAAGGTGCTGACACCTCGATAATGTATATTAATTTTGTAAGTGTGAAGTGTTTTAAGGTATCATCTGCAAAAAAAAATGGCTCTGGGCATGTTTTTAGTGGTCGAAAAGCAAGGAAAACGTGCTGTTTCATTAACATCAGCCGTTTACGCTTTCCCTTACTTTTGGTCAATGCAGTATGAAGCCTGCCTCCTTTTAAGAAACTAAGAGTGATGAAATTTCTTCTTTTAAAGCGTGCACCAATTGCAATATAGTCTTCTCTCAAGACTTCTGGATCGAAAGCAATATGTTCTCTCTGTGCTCCAGCCACCCAACTCCCATTCTGTCACCCCGCCCCCACAGACGGAGCACCGCACCAGCACCAGCAGCAGCACTTGTTTCAGCTGTTGATCCGTGAGAACACTGACTGATGATCGTCTCGATCGGAAATGACGAGCGATCCGTCCCTCCCAGTCTCTTTCTTCTCACCCCCTACCCCCTCTCC